GGCAGAACTTTTACCGTCCCTACTTGCAAAGTATGGAACAGTTTATCTTTGCCTGCAAGGCAAAGGGATTCAGTGGACTCTTTTAAGAAAGCATTGTGGAATGAATTTTTTAAACAACAGCAGAATCTTGATCATTTTCCTATTTAAGTTACTTGATGAATTGTGACATGATTACAATGTTATATTTTATCTTTTAAATTGTTTAGTAGATTTGATAGTATCTGTGTTCTTTGGTTTTTTGCTTTGTATTTTTTAGAGCTTGGTATACTCATTTATTATTTTATTATTTATTTATTATTTAGAGGGCCACAAATTATTAGCTCTGGATATTTCGTGCTAACCCTCATTAAATAAAGTCTTTACTTACTCATTTACTACTATTAGCCAAGAATTACTCACTGAATGTCTCTGCACTTATTTTTGTTGTACTACATGTACAAATGCACACTAACAATGAAGGTTTGTGAAAACAGAACTGTATTAAGCAGTTGTGTTGTTTGCTCAGTACCATGACAAAACTTACAACTTTTATTCATTACAAAATCATTATAATTTATACAGAGTGCAGTGCTTGTGCTTATGTTAATTGCATAGTTGTCCATGCTGTGTGAGTGCAAAGATGACAATTACATAGTGTAACACCTTTCCTCTTTTGAAAGATGAAAGTTACAGATAGCACAATTTGATTTTAGTCTATAACAAAGTCCCTAAATCTTGGGGGAGGCCTTTGTTGTCTCATTGAATGGCATAATGTGGATATAGGCTCTTGCTCTCTCTCAGGAGCAGATTCTACTGGTTGATCCGTGTGTGTAGGCTCATTTTCAGGCAAGGATACAATTTCCAGGTGGTCATCTGCTCTCTCATGTTTGTCCTCTGGTTCAACCTTTGCCTCTCTAATCTGTATGTGGTTCCTCCAAACTGGTCCCATTGAGGTGTCAACAATGCAAAACCTTGGTGCAGTACTTCCAATAACTTTACCATACATCCAAGGTTGGTGCTTATTTGCAGGCCTGGGTTTAATGAAAACCTTTTCTCCCTTTGAAAACTCTTTGAGGGGCTGCAAGACCCACTTGTTGTACCAAGCCATTGATCTTCGTCTTCTTTCTTCTATGTTTATATACACCAGACTTGGTGACGCTGCCTGAGGGGTGAGTTGGTGGTCTGCTGTAGGGATGATATCTTTGAGTCTTCTTGACATGAGACGCTGAGCTGGTGAGTAGTTGTAACCATGTTCAGGCATGTTTCTGTACACCAAGAGAGCCAGATAAGGATCCTCTCTTTGAGATTTCTTCAGGATGTTCTTGGCAATTTTGACCACTGACTCCGCTTTCCCATTTCCCTGGCTGTAGTAAAGTGATGATTTGACTATGGCGAAGCCATATTCTTGAATGGATCTTAAGTATTTGTGACTTTTGAATTGCGTGCCATCGTCTGTTATTAACTCATCTGGGATCCCATGGCGAACAAACTGTTGCTTCATTGCTTTGATGACTGAGTTAGCCATGGTGTTTCCACTGAGGGAGTCAAGTTCTATGTAATCACTGTAATGGTCAACCATTATGAGGTAGTTATTTCTGTTTAACTGAAAGAGGTCAGCACTTATTTTTAACCACAGTCTGGTAGTTATTGTGTGAGATTTCATAGGTTTCTGTGGTTGCTCGTTAATGTATTGGGCACAAAATCCACATGAAAGGCATTTTTCCTTGATTTGTGCTTGCATTCAAGGCCAATCTGCCTGCTATCAGCCCCCTGATGCACTTTGTGTATTTTCTGCAGCATCTCTTCTTGCAACGAAGAAGGGACAATAACTTGGTGAGATAAGTAGGCTACTCCATCATAAACAGAAATTTCCTTTCTTTCTGCAGGCCACCCACTAGTTGATACATTGCACAGGGATGCCAGGACCAGGTCTTTAGCGGTCTCTTGTTTGATTCATTGTGTGGTTTCAGATGTGACTCTGTTTGGCTCAATGTCCATCTTAGCCAATTCCATCCAGAACACTTCGTATTCTTTCCTCGCACTGGCTGTTGAAGGATGATATGTGACAGGTGCACAAGACAGAGTGTCAGCAAGGTAAAGTTCCTTTCCTTTCTTAGGAATTATGATTAGGTTCTTGAATCACTAGGTACTCATACACTGGTCTGCCAAGTTCCCAGCTAAGGTACCACTCATACACAAGGACTTCTTCTAAAATGCCAAAATCAACTCCACCATCAGCCATAACTGAAATGAAATTGCCTTGTCTCAGCTTGACTGCAACCTCCTCTTTCATTATATCACTGATGTTTTGTTGTGTATGTTTTCCCAAGGTCAGTTCCATTAATGTTTGGAAGGGTGCAGATACTTTCAAAATCATCAAAGGGCCTTTCAAGAGTTACCATGGTGAAGGCTGCCAAAATCTTTTCTAATCCAGCATCACCAGCACTCATTGACCTATTTAGAGACTTGATGAGGGTGGTTGAACTTGTTTTCCTTGTGAAGCCGAACTGTTCCAGCTTGTTTTAGGGCTACACTTTTTCTGGCTTTGTTTAGACACTGTGGCTATTTTCTTTACATCTACTATCTTCAGTTTGGTTTGCAATACTTTAGCAACATGCTCATTTTCAATCTGGCAATCTTTAATTTGATTTGTGGGTTTGTCGGGGGAATCTTTTGTGATGTTTGCTTTACTGTCATTAACACCACATAGTTTTTGGAAGCAGCAAGGAGTAAAATGGTTTGGCTCACACCATGCACTACGTCTGTTGTCAATTCCTTCCCTTGACCAAAGCAAGTAAAGTGGAGTGGAAGGAAATGTAGACAATCAAGGGTACACAAGACTGTGCACACAATCCCGTATCCATAACTGGCAGTTGGGATACATGGAGAATACCAGGCCCAGCTAAAACTGATGACAAAGCTGCCACTTAAAATACCCACTTCACTCTTTCGGTGTGCTGGCAGTGTGGGGAAGTTACAAATGAAGTTTCAGACCTCGTCAGGTGTAAGCAAAGTTTTTGCTTTGCAATTGTTTGTTTTAAAATTTACCTGTTCCCTTTTATTTGGATCCATGTAATTTCTTTAACTGTAAATTTAGTTTCTTTTCTCAGGGCGATATCAAGTACTTTTGTAAGAATCATGCTTGCAAAACCACGCTATTTCAATTTTTTTTTCATAAACATGGATTCAATAATACTTTCAAAGATATTTCACCAACATTTGATCAGACTGAAGGTTTATTGTTAACAAGACTGAAGTGCACAATTAGTAATTGATTACATAGTATCTGTGATGTAACACACAGTGATTGATGTGTATAGATGTTCATGACACCCTCCTGGCCAAGGAACAAAGTGTTATTTTAAAAACAGTTATGCAGTGTTAAATGTCAGTCTAGAATTCCTGACATTAAGTATTCAGAGTGTGCTTTGATTCTTTGACTAGCTCTTTGTGCTGCAGCTCGTGGAGGTCGTCTTCTTGTTGGGATGTCCTCCTCCTCTTTTTTTTGTTGCGAGTCTTTACTTTCAACTCCATCTCCTGAAACTTCAAAAGGGTAAAGTTTTTCAGTTGGCTTGGAAATTATTTTTTTCTGTTCTTAAGGTTAGAGAATGTGCAGAACCATCCTTTCCTTGGTGTAGTCATGTAATGATTCCTAGTTTCCATATTTTTCATGGTTTTTAGTCATGTATCTGAGAGATGTTTGTTTCTTTGTGATGAGTGTGATGAGTCTCACAGAGACCGGTTAAGTATTCCTTTTGCCATTGTACCCAGAAAGTTTGCATCTTTTTTTGATGGTATTTCGCTTGTCTCAATAAATCTTAAGTTCATTCGTATGGTATGTATTCTGAATCTGAATCATCAGCCAGATCTGGCAAAGTTAAAAGTCCCTGGCCACCTAGAAAATGAGATGGAGTAAGGGGTGGGCCATCATTAATATCTGAAATATCTGTATACATATAGGTGAGTGGGTGACTGTTGAGTGTAGCCAATGAAATTCAGAGAGGTGTTTCCAATAGCTTTTTTAAGTCTTTGCTTGACTAATTCAATCAATGGTTCATAGAAGCCTAGTGCTTGTTCTCTTATGAACTTCCACTTTATCTGGTGGTAAGCAAGAAACCTTTGAGGTTCTATTGTGTTTAGTATTTGGCGTTTGAGGGTAGTGAGCTCTTGGGAACCTGCAGACAATGCCTGGCATTGTCTGAGATGATGTACTCTGGAATTCCTGTTCTGCCTATGAATTGCCTGAAAGCCTTTAAAAACAAGCTTGCAGTCTGATCTTGTATCACTCATATTGCTGCACAGGTAAGGAGACAGATGTAGACTTTGATAACCTCTTTTTTTTGTTATGTATGTATAATGGACCTGCATAGTCAACTCTGGTGACTTGAAAGGGTTGGGATCCTGTGACTCGTATTTCTGGTAAAAGAGGAGAGGCAACAGAGTGGAATGGTGGTCCTTCCACTTTTTACAGGTCACATATCTATTTACTTCTTTTTTTACCAGTTGTAAGCCTTTGGGGGTCCAATATGGTTGTCAAAGCTGAGTTAAAGTGTTGCATACATCCCTGTGTAAAACTATTGGGTGTGTGTCTGACAACAAGTGTTGCTAAGTACCTTTCTGACAGATGGCGTCATAGGAGAGTTGTGTGTTTTCCAGTCTCCCTTTGCATTGTATCAAGTTAAGTTATCAACAGCTTCAAGTTCAGAAGACATATCACTTAAACTACTTACATTACCGAGTGGTATGGCATATTTCAAGGATCTTGGACTTAGAATTAAGACTTTTTGTCTACCCTCACCAGGTGAATCACTCACAGAGAGCCTGGGACACCCCTCTTAGAACATGGTTTCTTGCAGAAAAATGTGGAACTGTAATTGCTGCCCATTGTGATTGCATGGCAGGGTTAAGTGAAGGGTATTCTCGTGTTGGGGCAGTGCTTTTTTGCTGTGGAGGCTGGTGTTAGAATTAGAGATTCTACTACATGCACAAAGGAAAAGAACAAATGGCTTCTCTCTAGTCATATGAAAGAAATCCCCTATTTACCTGTTAGTGAGATGGATTTTACCTCAGCTAAAAAGAAGTATGAGTTGATGGTGGAGAAACAGGTTACTCCTATGGCCACTAGATCTAACTCTGGGATCCAAATTACCAGGACACCTGCCCCAACCCCAGAAGAGCAGAAAACGTTTTTTACAAGTATTCCTGGCTGTACAGTAAAACCAGCAGTCTTATCCCTTGTCACACCTTTAACTGAGCAGTGTACTTGTAAATAAATTGACAATGTACCCAAGCCCTTGCCCAATAGCTTGATTAAAGAAGAGTGTATGCAGATAGACTACATGGAGTTGCTGCAGCAGTGTCAACAAATATTGGTTGAGATTACACCTGATGAGTGTCAAGCAATAAAAGCTTCAACCAGAAAGCGGTCACAAAGTAAAGTTTGGTACCAACAAAGGGCAGGTCGTATTACTGCTTCCAATCTAAAACTGCTTGCAAAACAAACACAGCTAAGCCTGGTAAGAGTCTTGTTAAGTCCATATGCTACCCTGAAGCCCATGAGTTTTCAACTGTGACAAAAAGGTGGGGTTGTAAACATGAGGGTAGGGCTTGCAAAGTGTACCAGATAGAAATCAATCAATTCCATGAGTCTGACAATTTCTGAAAGTGGTCTCAATATTGATCCAAGATGGCCATACTTAGGAGCTTCTCCTGATGGGATTGTTGACTGCAAATGCTGTTGGATGTGTGTGAAATAAAATGTCCATATACGCACAAGGATTCCACAATTGCTGAGGCTTTTGGCCACATTTAAAGAAAGATGAGTTTGGTCAAGTTCACCTTGACAAAGTCATGCCAACTACTACCAAGTTCAGGCCCAGATATTTATCTGTGGGGTTGAATATTGTGATTTTGAGGTGTAGACAACAATAGATCTCTTTGTGCAGCGAATTCTTCCAGACCAAGAGTTTTGGGAAAATGCCCTCTCTGTTACCACTGAGTTCTTCAGCAAGTGCATCTTGCCTCAAACCATAGGAAAGTATTATACATGCCCAGGATGTGAAGCTCAAGCCATTCCATCTTCATCAACATCGTCTGGTGATGAAGAAGAGGAAGGGCCATGGTGCTATTGTCGACAAGATTTGGAGAGCAGCACATTAATTGGCTGTGACAATGATCTGTGCCCGGTGCTCCATTCTTTGTCAAAATGCAAACTGAACTTTATGGTTGTTTGTCATGCATGTAGTTACATATTTGTTAATGACTAGCATCTGTGAAATAAACTGAACAAATGTTGCTTGCCAATGGTGTACCTTAAAGCTGTGGTTTTTTTTTCAACATGAGAATTACTGAAGTTCTTTAATAATAAATTATGGCTAGCCCTAACTACATCTTTAAGGCTGTTGTAAATTGCTTTAATTCTCTGCTCACCACTCTTGATTACAATATTCACTCTCGAAGAATTTTCCACCGCTCGCTCTTTAAATAGATCAACTAAAACACTCTTGTGTAAAAAAATCTCTTATTGTCTCTGATCAGTTCCAGTAAAATATTAACCGCATCACACCCTTATTTAACATTGCGTAATTACATTCTCGTCACACTCCCCCCATATATCTCCAGGGGTTATATATGTTTTTCACTCAAGTTTGACTGCTTCGAATAAAATGTTCACACTCATCATATTGATAATCATTTCTTAAAGGTAAACAAAACGACTGTCTCTATAGTGTCAGTTTGTCAGCTAAATGCAAGCTGATAGCACTGTTCATTCGGACTGTTCATTTTAGACTTCCTCTTGGGTAATCTTTTGCAAATGCAGGCGTGCTGCAACTGCAGCATCCCGTCTTGGGCGAAATGGAGCAACCTCTGGGTTCATCCCCGCCTGGGATGCTGTCATCTGCCTGTCACACAATAGTTCCAATGGGTAAAGTTGTTGGATCGCACGTTCCACGTAGGACTTTCCTGCGCGCAATTTTGCTCCTCCAACGACTCTGTCATTTTCAACGATCAAATTCTTGATGATTCCCAGCGGCCACTTCCCTCTGTTCTTGTCTTCTGTTTTGATGATCACTACATCACCAACAGCCAGCGTGTCTCCTCCAGCCCCTCGCTGTGCACGGTGTCTCTTGCAAAGACTGCGCAGGTACTCTTTGGTCCATCGGCTCCATACTGCTTCCTTGCACTTCAACAAGTGTTTTGCTCGCTTTCGCAGGTCAGCAGTCTCAATGTGGTGCGGCTGCAATTCTGGGAGCAAATTGCTGTTCAAAAACAACATAGCATTCAGTGTTAGAAGGGGCATCTGCACATCATCTTCTATGTAGCTTAATGGCCGGTTGTTAAGCGTGATCTCCACGTCCAGCAGGACTTCTTGTAACTCTTTCCACCATAGTAGGCCATCCCCTATTGTCTTGTTTAGGGCTGACTTGACAAGGCCAATCAATCTTTCAAACTGTCCTCCCCACCACAGGGCGTGGCTCAGATCGAATTGCCATTTGATCTGATTGATGGAGAGGCATGTCTGCCGTTATTCGTCTTTCATGACAGCTCTAATTCAGTTTGCTGTGCCAACAAAGGTTTGGCCGTTGTCTGAATAGATTTGTTCCAGCTGTCCTCGGCACGCAATAAACTGCTTCAAACTCTTTAGGCACTCTTCTGTTTCCAGGTTTGGTAGGGGGGTCAAGATAAATTCCTCGCGTAAGACTGCAGGCATATAACAGGACATAGGCCTTTCCCTCTCGCTGTTTAGACACTCGATATTGGATTGGACCAGAGTAGTCCACTCCAATCACTTGGTACGGGTTGGTCCCTTGAGTACGGGTAGTCGGCAGGTTTCCAGGCGGCGGGTTCTGCATATGCCAATGCTTGAAACTTCTTGCACCCATGACAGCTCTTGTGCACTTTCTTCGTCAGCTGTCTCAATTTTGGAATCCAGTAATGGGCATGAATCCTGGCCATTGTTAGCTCCACTCCCCCATGCAGTGTTTCTTTGTGTGCTTCCTCTACTAGTCGGAGGGCAAGTATGATTCTCCTTTGCCTACAGAGGTAATTTCAATGTCATCATAATCACTTTCAAAGTCATCAGTACTGTCTTTACCATCATCAGACAAGCAAAGTGTATTGTTAGTCATCATGTTAGTTGTACATGTAGAAGAACAAGTGGAAGGGGAATTAATGTTAATTCTTGATGTAGATGCTGTTTTAGCACTGTTATGATTCACTGGTACTGAGTGTAAATCATGAATACTGCTACTTGTAGTTGTTGAATCATCATAAGTGGTATTCAAAGAAGAACAAGTGGTAGGAGAAGCCAAGTTGACTTTACAGTCACTGCAAACCCACGTAGTCTTGCTGATGTTTGGCATTCTCCTGTACTGGAGGCATTGTAAATGAAAAAAATTTCCATTTTGCCAGTTTGTGCTATGACACTTTAAAAGCTTTTCCCCCACCTTTGGTTTGGCTTTGCAAATACATATACTGTTATACTTCAATGCTTCATCTAGGTTCTGTAAAGTTTTCTTGGGGCTCTTTTTCATTTGTTCAGTGGAGGGAGCAGCTGGCAACTTGGGCAGTACCATGGTTTTGGAAGGGGACCAGATATTTCCAAACATGAATAGTGAAATTCTATGAATGGGCATTTGGGGTTTTTTCACAATGCACAATCATTTTGTCTGTGGGCTTCCTCCAGTAGCAAATACTCTGACCAGGAGAACTCATTGGTGGAGGAGCAGCAATATCATGCTTCCTTGTATACCATCTGCCAAGAACTTCTGGTTGTATACAAGTTCTCTACATCTTGGTAAGCTTGGGAAGAACAGAATCCCAATGGGAGGGGTCCTTGTAAATTCTCTCCATGAAAAACATTGTTTGTTAAGAAACGAACACATAACAAAGTCACAATACTTACTGCCAGTAACAAACAGCTGTTGTTGTACTTGATAGTAGTATTGACGACTTCTTTTCAGCCTGAATGTGTTATTAACTATTTCTAGGCAGGAGTCCTTCTTTCTTACATAAGCTTCAAAATTACAGTTTTGAATGCTGTATGGACACTTAACTTCACAACAGCCCTCACCACAGCATGAACAAGAGGTCATGACATCTGGAGTAGCATGTATCCAAGGATGATGTTTATCTATTATCATCCCACAGTGTTCGACTTTAAAGTCTCTGTGAGTCTGTGACATGACTTTGGCATATACATCAATTGCAGGAGTTTCACTTCTGCGACCATGGATGATTGCTTTCCTGTTAACTTTGAACAAATGTGGATAACACATTAACTTGATTAAAGATTGTGATGGCATGGCAGGTTTAGTATGCGATGCTGCCCAACTTGACGAAACACTAATGCGCCTTGCCCTATGCTGGAAAAATGCTGTTCCTCTAGCCTGTGTCCGGGTGTCCTTTTCAATTAATTCTATATCTGCATCAGAGAGAGTTATATCAATTTCAGCACACTTTCTTAAATGTTCTGAATATGTCAGATCAGGGTAAGAGGGCTGAAATAAGTCACAGATAGTTGGTATGTCGGCTTTTGAGGATGAATTCTTCACAATACGGTTGAACTAAGCTCAAAGCTACAGGTTTGATCTTGCATTCATCGAGTTTTGCAAACAGTGTTTCCATTTCAGTCTTGGATGGGACAACAGAAGAACAGTTTGGCAGGACACTAGGAGTAGGCATTGCCGGGTTGTTAGGATAAGTTGCCTGGGCGTTTGTAGCGTTTAGACATGTCTTGAATAATTTTTTTATTTTATCATCTAAATTTTCCTGGAATATGTCCTGGACCTTCGCGTAAGGGAATGTAGGTTGTGTCACTCCATTGCCTTGTCACCCCAGGTTATGTTGCCCCAACTGAAGTTACGTCGCCTCAACATATTAGTTGTGTCGCCCCATCACCAAAATTATGTCGCCCCATGGAAGTAAAGTATTAACTTTAGCTGACTCGCTTGCCATTCTTACAATTAGCTAAATCTTTGATCCTAATCTTAACACCTTACTTACAAAGCAAAACTCGAAC